TCAGCCATCAAATTTATTCCGGTTTTTGTTGTCAAAATTTGGTCACGCCTTTCATGTATTGTTAATTCAGGGTTGGTCATGTCAGAATAATGATATGGCGTACAAAATTTAAGCCTCAACTGTTAGTAAATACCGAATTAGGTTATTTTTAACATGACCTTAATTATAACACATCTATTCTGCAACATTTATCAATAATATTTTTCTCTTCCGTCTTATGATGTAAATATTAGAAGTAAATTCAAAATAGTTTACTAACTTTTACAATAATCTTTTTCAAGAATTTGTGCTCGATCGGATATCCGTACCCTTAACCATAAGGGTTCATTTAGACCTAAGCCAGAATCGTATGAACAACATTCGGCAGTCGCTTGAGAGATAATCTTATGGTAAATACAATAAGTTATATAAAATATTGGTTGACTTTTCCAGGTGGTGGGACATAGAGAGGGTCTAGAGATGATGGAGTCAGCTGACCCATTGGTCTTGCTCGTCCTCCTGCCAACGATACCCGTCACCTTGATCAGTGCCAAGATGTACAATTGGGAGGATTCGGTGCTTCTCTTCCTGAGGAAGTACTGTGCTAAAATACCCGCTCTAACATACATACTGCCCTTTGGAAAGTGAGTACACATTCAGTCATATTTATGCCTTTTTCTTTGTCGGGATATGTAGGTATAGTTATTTTCAGATATCTTGGTGGCTCTTAACTTCGCGTGAGTCTGCGCAGAACTCAATAACCTTGGGTTGCTAAGATATTTGATAAGAACTATAGTATGTCTATCAGACAATTCTGAATTCACTATCTTCAGTATTATTTTATTGATTAAACTTATTTAAGAATTGTGATGGCGATCTTAAAATCTGATATATATCGTTTAGATGTCTATTGATCCATTTCGAGAATAAACAGATTTTTGTAAACTTATTTTTACTAAGTATCCGTCCGCAAGGAATTAAAAAAAACCTTAATTAGTAGTCTATTTGTTCTTCCAGAGTATATTCTACATCTTTTCCAAATTTTAGCTAAATGCATGCAGCTGTCATATAGATACCTTTTAACAAACATACATCCATGCATCCAAACATTCGCATTTATAATATTAGTAAAATTAGTAAGATATATTGTTTACTCTGTTTTCAGTGTGGACGGCGAGAGAAGTGCTTTAGTGACTGGTCAAACGACCAATGCCAATAATACAGAGACGCATTTATCTCCGACAAGGATATTCTGTTCCGCTTTACTTTTACCCACAATATCTACTATAATAGGCAAACTATTCTTCCGTTCTATACAAAATAATCTTCACAGAACTATACTCGGTGGTTTAACTTATATTACGATTAAAGGCGCGTTAAAAATCTACCATAAACAAATGCTCTATATCAGACATTCGAGTAGGAAAATACTCGATTACACAGAATCGAATCTTAAATTGTACAGAGGAGCTACGAATGTACAAACCAATGAGAATAGAGACGATACCGAACAAGTCGTTTGATCGATTAAATATCGATTTTTAATTTTGATAATCGATATTTTTAATATCGATTTAAATCATGTAAATATTAACGATAACTGTACTTATGTTATGTGATATTTTGTGATTTTATGTAAATATATTTTATCGCTGGATTTTTATTGACAATATCTCTCTTTATAGAAATATCTAGAAAGCCTGTGTATTATAAATGTTTCTAAAATTACTTGAAATACATATCTGTCTGTTGATATTTTATTGCGTTTTTAAATTTATAACCTAAAAATTTTATTTTCAATCGAATACGATACGAAAATCACTAGAAATTGTACATCTTTTTAAACCAGTGAAGGAACCAAGAAATGAGAAATTTTAATACTAAAACTTATGTAAACAAATCTATAGACAATAATTGACAGCCATTGATATAATTTCTCATTTCCATTGTATTCGAGTATACATTATACGCGTTCAATAATAACTATTTCTATCTATTGAGTTCTTTATAAATTTTTGCTCGGAACATCGTACGAGTGGCTGCGCAAGCGCAGAACACGATGTTACGCGTGGGGAATAGAGGGATGCGGGGGGAGAGCACTACGCAGGTGACCTTGAGCCATATATATTTTTTTTAATTCTATCTTAAACTACAAGGATATTGAAGGCTGACATGTCTTGATTCATATTCTTCCTACAAGTGTCATAACTAATACCATTGGGTTTTGAACGATAAATCGTGGGTTTCTGAGACCGAAATTTTCGTTTAATAAATATTGTCATCTTTGTTTTGTCAAAGATGTACGACGAGGAAGACAGTATGTTTTATACAGAGGTTTTGACGGCAGAAACCCACGCATAATCAAACAATTATTTTTTAACTAGCTTTTGCCCAAATACTAATAAATATAGACTATGTTAACTCAGTGATTACGTAGGTTTCTAATTATAATATAATTTATGAAATCGGTCCAGTGGTTTTTGAGTTTATATGTTACATACAAAAATACAATAAATAGACTAGCGGTGGCGCGCGAATTCGTCAGCAAGGAATTTAAAAATAATATTATAAGCAACAAAATTACATCACGTTCTAGAAAATGATTTTTTTACGATATTACAAACAGATACAAGCAATTTTTTAATTGTGAAGAATTACTTTTATTGGGTAATATTTTGGTACGGTTAACAAACGCTATGACGTCATAGAACTAAAGTCTTGTTGTTTATTGCTTACATCGAATTTGATATTTGTATTTGCTGTCTTGTTTTGTCAAAGAGAGTGAAAGAGACGACAATATGATATTGGAGTAAAAATACGGTAATGTATTTTAACATAGTAACGTAATCTTAGTGTTTGTATGTTCATACATATATGTAATATGCTTTCTTAGTAATAAATTGCAGTAAATAGATTTTATATTATGATATAAAAATATGAAGTTCACTTACCGTGGGTTTCTGAGGTCAAAATTGTCCATTTAAAACATTATTATCTCTGTCAAAGGTGAAATATAAGGTGATGTTTTATATAGAGATTGAAGTATCAGAAACCCACTGTTATTGAGTGTTTAATCGTGCCTTTCTGATGAAAATATTATGTATATCACTTTTGTACTAATACTTTAGTCTTATTTTTTAATTGTATGTACTGATTTTTGTATTTTTAATGTTATGTTTTTAGGTGCTATTCAGTGGATGTAATAGATTATTTATTTTTGGGTCTTTTTTTTTAAACTTGCCAAATATATTTCATTTTACTCATATAAATTATGTTTGGAAAGGTCTTTTCATTTTAGACTTTTTGGTGATTAAATTAGAGTTTAATTTCCAATGTACGTGTTAAATTTCGTTTTATATTTTAAGGTATTTGTGATTTGCTCTAAAATAGTTCAAGTAAAGGTTCTTTGTAAAATTGAATTCACATGATTTTTACAATTATTGTATAATGGCCGTTATGGTTTTAAAATATTTGAGTTAATATACAAACACTTTGTTTCGTCTATTGATTGTAAGATTATGTTATATATTTTTCTAAACACATAAGGGGGCGTCCATAAATTACACGAGGTGTTTTTTTTAAATTTTCTGCCCCTCACTTGGTGAAATTATATTCAACCCCGTCCCCCACCCCAATCAACGTGAGATTTTTCAAAATGTGAGTTTCTTACGTAAACTCGTTGGATTGTTATTGTTAAAAGAAAAAAAATTTGCTTCGTGCTTTTGCTTTTTTTTGTTTCAATCAGAAAAAAATTGCGTGATATTTGCAGAGATCCCCCCTCTCTCCAACGTAAGATTGGAAGAAGTATAAAGTATGGACGCCCCCTAAACTTTGTCTGCTAGACTGAATGCCTCTAGAGCCCAGTTATTTTTCTGTATATTTAACTTTTTAATTAAATATATTGTGAGTTGTATAGTTGGATTAAAGGTATTTTTATCAAGACTGTTTTTTTTATTTATTTCTTAGGCAATGTAACAAAAATTTTACTCTCCAAGATTGCAATGGATTAAGCCCCCGACGCAAAAACGACGTGGTATAAGTTTGACGTGCCTGTGTGTGCCTGTGAATTAGTCTGGAGTGTTCTTAGCTATGCTTGATATAAATCGGTCCAAGATGGCCGCCGCAAAATGGCGGTATATTGTAGCAAAGTTAAAGAGCGTTTCCACTGCTGTTATTACAAAAGTATATTGTAATTGCTGGTAGAACAATGTGTTTCGCGTTATAAATATGAACTAGAAGTCTACAAACTATCTCGATGATCTGAATCATTATCTAAACGTATAAAAACTTAGCTTTGACGGCGTTTGCTCTATCTAATATGTTAAACTATACAATCGGATTATAGATAATGTCTAGATATGATACGTAAGTATATAACCACTTGAATAATATATAACTATTAGAAATATTTTTTTATATAAATTACCAAAAATGTAACATAAATAATATAATTAAAACAAGCAAGTGGCCAGCTGATTTCGCTAAAATGAAACGACATCTACCCACAGACATCTCAAATAAGTTGTCTATGCGTTACCTACTTTAAATGGAGGGAAGGGATTTATAGACAGTATTTCTCCTTACTAAGCGTCTCCCTCGCCTAGTCCAATTGTCATTCTCATCCATTCCTTACAAGAAAATTCAGATGTTTCGGTAATTAAAATCTATGTTTTTAACATAACGATGCTTTAAAACTGGCTGAAGGTTTTTATTATTTATAAATTTTTGAAAACTTGATAAGCGAGAGTCCAGGGTACTGCGATGTTTGTCTCGCTTATGAAGGTTTCTCTCTAACCAGTGTTTCTCGCTTACAAAGATCGCCCGTCAGGATAGGACATTGACTCTCGCATAGGTTTCTCTTATCCAGGTTCAAATGTATACAGAATTGCCAAAAAAATGGCAATTTTATTAACATCATTATGATTATCATTAGTCTATCAATATATCAGTTTTATATCTTATCAATATGATAGGTTATTACGAAGTGCTGTAATATATTTCAGTGCAAGTTCTGACTTAATGTGAACCGTGACTTGTCTCTTATTAATTCAAAGATAATGAAAGGGATGGCAATATGATTTTATACAAAATCTACAGTCAGAAACTTTAAGATCTTATCAAATGCAAGACTTGCAACTTATCATTGTTGAGAAGTGTAATTAATACGTCGCGAGTGTTTGTGCGTTACGGTCTAAAGTGCTTGAAATCAGTGAGTGTTAACAAAAGGTATTAGACTAATTTATTTTACGTTTGAAATAAATAGAATTATCTTTATTTTTATAAATGCGAAAGTTTAGATAGATTTGTTATCAAGTAACTACAAAGCGACTGAAAGGATGGATGATCGCATAAGCTAACCGTGGGTTTTTATAACCAAAATCTCTGTTTAAAATATATTGTTATCTCTGTCAGATGATTATATGGATGACGATTTTGGTCTCTGAAAAACACGGTTGCTAAGAAATATTTATTATTATTTTAATTGCGCGCGGACGAAAATGTTTCGAATTTTGATAATCACTCGAAAAATGTGTGGTCATGTTTCAAAGTGTTGTTTTAATTCATATCTGTTTAAATAATCAAGATCAGTTAACAATAATTATTAAATAAGTAGGTTTTAAAATCAATTAAGGTTTGTATGTCGTGTAACATAACTTTACTGCCGCGACGCTTGCTTTGACCGCTACTCCGTCCATGTAGAATTAAAAAAAAAACTAAATTAGTAGTCTATTTTCTTCTAGACTATGTTCTATATCTATGCCAAATTTCAGCGAGATCTTAAGAGTTCTGGAGATACGTAAGAAACATCAATTGAACCATCTAAACTTTTGCATTTACAACACACACGGACCTAGATAAGCGAGAAACCTCTATAAGCGAGAGCCTAGTCCCGTCGGATGTACTTCGTAAGCGAGAAACTCTGATTAGCGAGAAATCTTTGTAAGCTTAAAGCAAATTATTGAGGAGCCTTATCCAGGTTTGACTGTGTTAGTAAGAAGTAATATATAGCTGCCTTTGTTGGGATAACAAGATTTAATATTAGACGTGTTATGGAAGACGAAACGAACTGTTAAGTCCTATACAATAATCGATAAAAATGAATTCACTTTTTAGGAAGCAACTAGCAAATACAATGCAAAAATATATCCGATAACTGTTGCATTGGAAGAAAAATGGCGAAGTTCATTAAATCTTTCTTTCAAACACCATCTGACAAGAGGAGGAACTCTCAATATGGTAACGAAGATGATGGTACATTAACGCCACCTCTCGGCGGAAGACGGAAGCTCTCTATATCGAGGTCGGGTAGAATGAAACAGAGTAACAAGAAGAGACATTCTATATCTTTAGATATGTACGGCGAGGTAAGTAAATGATTTTAACGAAACATAGAACAAGGCTATCGAGAGTTATTTTGTATCAAGTGCTTTTACTCGATAGGATTATTTTTAATAAACACTACAAAATTGTAGGCTCAGTGTGAATCTCTGTTTGTGTATATATTTTGTATCCTTATACATGTCAAAATAACTTTCTATCTTATAGAGATTGTGTCTATAAGTTGTTTGTCTGTAATACGCAATTTTACTGAACACAACTTTTTATTTATTTATTAAAATACACCAATTGCATGTTCAAGAAGTACTAGAAAAATTATACTAGACAAACAATATAAGAACATACGGACAACAGGCGTACACGCCACTCACAAGAAAAATGAGTTTATATAGTACAAAATAACTACCAACTATGATAAAAACCATAGCTATAAAATTATACTCGTATATAAAAAAAATCTATTGTTTAAAAATGTAACCATTTAAATTAAAACGAAATCTATTTTGTTTATGGTGGCCAAAAATTGCCTTAGTCTTTGAAATTGTCACCACAACAATGTTTATGGTTTTGTAAATCAATAAATGCATTTATAAGTTTAATTAAATTTATAACACGCATAGAAACAATAAAACTGCATTAATTTTAAAGCGCACTAAACATTTATCAATTCATGCCGCCGATTGATAAACAATGCAATTTGCACATAATAATTATCTTCTTCAGTATATAATGTTAATAATCTTGATAACTAAATAAATATACAATAAGATTGTGTCAAGTTGATGGCCAACATATGTGTTTGAATCATTAGTAAAGCGATAAATTTATACCCCTTTTTAACGTAATTACGCTTACTAATAAACGTGAAATTTGACACAGTTATTTGTCTGTTGGGAATCGGAGCTTTACTATAAAATATTAGACAATCTTTCAAATACATTTTAGCTTAAGCATACGTCAACCTTTTTATACCGTAAATAAATTAACCAGCGTGGATTTTTTTGACAAATCATGGCTAATTAAAACATTATCGTAGGCTTTCGAAATGAGTTCTTGACATACCGAAAGTAGTGTGGTGATACATATTTATGGTTAAACCACTTTGTCCATACTATACTTGAACGGCGAATGAAAAGGGATGACAAATTTCTTTACTATGGGCTATTTGAATTTATCCGACATAAAGTATCAAATCTCATAAAAAAAAATATTCTTTACGCCAGATGAGTGTATCTTTTTTTTTTAGAATCTCCAGTCGACAGAAAAGACAAAGGCGGTGGAATACCACGTCAATAAGCCAGTGAATCAATCAGTCAAAAATGATCTCAAACAAGAAGACAAAATTGAAAGGCGACACAGTATGGAAGTGAGGACACCTGAGGAAGAAATCGATATAGCATTCAATGTCATTGATAAAACATAAGATATGACAAGTACGTTTGTATAGTCCGACAAACATATCTGGCCCGGTGTATTAAATAGGCGCTCTGTAACAACTCAAAAAAACTGCAACAACAGACTGTAGCTATCTTATCTCCTGTGTCATTTTCCATGTCCATAGATTCGCGAGAAAATGAATTATTATAAACAGATTAATACACGGAATATCCCAGAGGAAAAACGACGACGCGGTTCACCCGGCAAATTCATGTCCCGGAAGGGCAACAAGTGGCGATCCGTGGTCTCTGCCTACCCTTCTGGAATATAGGCTTGAGTTTTGTGTTATTAATATTAGGTTAACCGGTATCAGTGTGAAGCGCGAGCTACCGCGAAAAACTCAGAATAAAAACTCAACTTGAAGTAATCCCGATTCGAAACTAGTCGGTGCCGGAATGAAAATTTAGCCGTAAATTTTCCATATTAACGAACAAACCGCGATAACGCCATTTCATCGGGCCAGACATATTTGTTACACTAATGTTGTCAAGTTAGTTTTTATTTAGTGTAGATATAGAGATTAGATCTATCTTGTTTTACCCATGATTTTTTTAATAAAATCTTGCGCGTTTACCAATTTTATATGTTCTACAACTTAAAGACTATACTATCTCATTTTATATTGAGATTTAAGATATAGTTGGACAAAGAACGTTTTAAAATTTGTATAAATAGAACTCTTATATAAATTGATGACTCCCACGTAAATTAATACTTTTAGTAACTGTAAACAGAAAGGGAGAAACTAATCGGTGCCGCCACCGGACGAATACGTGAGTGTTTAGCCGTTTTTATATAAGGTTATTATCTCACGAAAGTTTGAATAATTTAATAAATGTAAACAGTTTTGTTTTTTGTCAATAAACTGTATTTCATTTTATTTAAAAAAATGTATTGCTACATTCACAATATTTTATACCTTTTTAAAGCTCTTGGTAAAAAATATTATGTGTTTATTTGAGAGTAAAATATTTTTTTATATCCCCATTGTCTATTATCATTTTGCATATAGCGTAATTGAGTAATTGAGAGCGTCGGTGGTTCAGGGATCAAGCACTTGACTTGCAATCTGCAGCTCCTCGGTTCAAATACGCCATATACCATTGTGTTTTTCGATTTACGATTTTACATATGTACATTTATCCGACGTTCTTACGGTGAAGGAAACCATCGTGATGCAACCTGCACATATCTGAGAAGAAATTCAAAGATATGTGTGAAGTCAACCAACCCGCACTTGGCCAGCGTGGTTGACTATGGCCATTTTTTTTTCAGAGGGGAATGCTTTATGCATACTCCGCGCCCCGGGGGGGAACGCGGTAGTTATGTGGGATTCTCCTCCATAGCGGAGGCATACCCACTAAACCCCTCTGTTCCTCCAACGCATCGGGACGGGACCACGGGCACTCTTTCGCTCTCGTCCGCGGCCCGTGGTTGACTATGGCCTAATCACCCTTAACTTAGGGTAGGCTCCGAGCCCTTCGGTGGGGACGTATAATGAGCTGATGATGATATAGCGTAATTTATTGTAGTAAAGTTTGAAGGAAAATATACGATTATATACGTGGGAGTCATCGAAGTTTTAAGACAGGAAACCTTTCATAAAGAAGACAGAAAAAACTTTTATTTTTTGAGATAAAAATTGTTAGTTATAAAATGATTTGTGATGTAGTTATTAATTTATAGTTTTTAAGCTTAGTAGTTATGGTTTGGATTTTTCTAGTATATTGAGTGTAGTATTATATAAATAACATAGATGTAAGAAATTAAATATCTTCTTAAAAGTACTGTGTTTTTTATTTCCTGTAGCATGTTCGAAAGTTTTAAAAATCATTACAAAACGGATTTAAATCAATAATAAAAAGAAACTTCGATTATTCGATTTGATATTTAAGGTTGCATAAAAACGAATCTCAGATTATTAAAAAAGATAATAAATCGATAACTTATTTTCAGAAAACTATAATTGAACCGAAGCCGATAAATCAAATACGCAATGGATTAAAAAAAAAGATTAAATGATAACATCTAATCTTACTAACATTATAAATGCGATTGTTTGGATGGATGTTTGTTAGAATGTATCTCCAGTACGGTCGTATGGATCTTGATGAAATTTGGCATACATGTAGAAAATAGTCTGTAAGAACACGTAGGCTTCTTAATAAGTTTTTTTTTTAATATCAGGTAGAGTCGCGAGCTACAACTAGTAATTTTACAACTCTTTACTACCTGTACTCAGAATTGTTAAGTCAAGAATAATATACTCAATGTATTATTAATCTTCACAGTAGTATATATATATATATATATGTATATATATATATATATAATATGTGTGTGGTGAAATACCACGACCACACAGGAGAAGGCCTAATTTAGTTCTCTTTCCCTTCCCACCCTTTTTCTTATAAGATGGGAAGCGGAAGTGGACTTTCCGGATGAGAGGATGCATGGAAAGGGAAAATATTTTCCCTCGTGCATCCTCTCCTCCGTCGATTAAAGGTAGGCAACGCATTTGCAATTGCGTATATCTATGGGCAACAGTCACTTCGCTATTTCAGCGATTTCAGGTGACCGCTCACTCGAAAAACATTTTTGAGTGCTATTTTCTTTTTCAAGGAGAATAAAAGTGTGGTTGTCTCAGTGCTTCTTACTGGCGTTGGACGAAACTTTTTACCGACTGTGGTGCGTGGCCTGGAGTCTGACCCCGCGACGATGTACGGACTGACTGACGGTAATATCGACCATTTAAATAGCCAACCGCTCGGAATTCTCCGATATATATAACAGGTCAAAAAAAAACAAAGATTTGTTTATTAAAATAAAAATAATAAAATATAATTACTTAATCAATAATTTATTTACAAACCTATTAGAAATCTTTTCAGACTTTCATCTTCTTCTTTTTAGGCTTAATCGGTAGAGGTCCGCCAATTTTAAATACGGTACTGAAAAAAAAATATCGATTAAATATAACTCTAATATTATTGCTTAAAAAATACAGACTGGATAAGCGAGAAACCAGCGTTAGCGAGAAACCTCCATAAGCGAGAAAAATATCTCGCTCCCTTGGACTCTCGATTATCCAAATTAGCTTGTATTTTATTAAATTATAAAATTCGTATTTAAGTAAAGAAATCGACGTGTATGTTTAGTATCAATGTGTAAGCCTGTCTACCCCATTAGGCATGAGGCGTGTTAATATAATACATTTAAAAAGAACATGATACTTACTGACACGTTGTGCAGATTGGACTGAATTTGCAGAAAACTGAAATAAAGGCATTATTAAAAACAAACTATTATATAAAAAACATAGTTTGAAAATGTCTTCATCTGGATAACTAATATTCTAAAGAACTGCGATATTTTCTCGCCTATGTAGGTTTCTCTCTAACAGATTTTCTCGCTTATGGAGGTTGCCAGCCGGGACTGCAATTACTCGCTTATCAAGGTAAGAATATATAATATATTAAACAATCAATCGATAAATACTTTAGTATTTTGCTTGCCCTCATAGACAAAGTAACGTTTGATTAGTGAAATCTGATCAAAAAAATATAAAACTGACAATAACTTTTGATGTACCCCATATTATATACTTATTTCAATAGCTTTAAAAACATTTTGCTGATTCTACTACATATATAAACGAGCAAAACAAACGAGCTGCCACTGTAATTCGCCAAAACATCGAAGCGACATCCCCCACTGTTCCTCCATCAAATTCTCATCTTTTCCTTATAAGAAAAAGAGATTTGAGGCCAAAGTTATTCAAACTTACCACTTAAACAAACAGAGCAGACATATCCGATAGTCAGTAGTTCTCTATGGCAGAAGCAAGCTGCGCGATAGTCCACTCTACCTCTCCCAGGTAGTACTAGCTCGTTACGTTCTGATGCTTCAGGCAGGAATACCCACTACAATATACCAAATATACTGATAAAAAAAAAGCCAACACACTTCACTGTAATGCTTATTATGAATTTATCATTACAACTTTACACAAAACAGATACAAAAAGACACTACGATATATTAAATAAGAACTTTAAGAACACTTTCTTAGCTCATTGCAAAAACTCATTCTTGCTTATAATGAAAAAAAAAAAAAACAAAAGAATACTCGGTTTGATAAAAACATAAAAATCTCACAGTGCCAATATGTGCCAGTACTTTTTATTTTTTGGTGGCGCCATTTAAAGGAAAGACATTGAATCACGCTTGAACACATACCTAAATCTATATCTAATACCAACTGAACGCTCACATTATGTTTATCAAATTCCATACACATCGGCCATGATGCTATTTAATATTTTTATGGTTTTATTTGAGAAAAGTAGCTGTCACTTGTGACTCAGTCCTTACGATATTAATAAACTTAACTAGCCTATGTGTTCTTCCAATGTTCTACTATGTCAAATTTCAGCGAGATCCATTCAGCCGCTCTATAGATACTTTCTAACTAACATCCATCCATCCAAACATAAGTGGTTATGTAAACTAAAGGAAGCTAATGTGAAAGCTATTTTTAACATGTTTTAGTATAATAGATTTTTTTTCTGAGTTTTAGCGTATTTTGTTTCTCTATAGTTAAGAATATGGATTAGAGCAAAGTATAGTACTAACCAATAAGTATTGCAATAATCCTTCAAGTGAAGGCACTTTGAGGTACAAACCCCCCGTGATGTCACATCCTTGTTGTAACAGACTTAAGTGCTTATCAAGAGAACACACATCTATCAATACTTGTTGTTTCTGAAATAAAACAATATTAATTAATTAAAGAGAAAAAAATATTGTCTATGACACTTAACCCGTCAAAATAGACTCAGCTGTTCAGGCCAGCAGTAAAAACCCATAGACAATCGAACTTGGATAAACAAGAATCCAAGGGATTGCATTTAACTTATAGAGGTTTTTTACTAACCAGAGTTTCTCGCTTATGCATTGTCTATTGGACAATGACTCTCGCTTAGGGAGGTTTCTCGCTTATCCAGGTTTGATAAAACGTACTATCATCACATATCTTTATTTAAGTTCACAGTTTGTAATATGACTAGGTAAATTATTAACTGATGAAGTTCAATTTAATGGGTACAATGTTTTCTCACCTGTGCTGTAAAGAAGACATTCATGTAATTAATATACTGAGCAGCGGTGTCAGAACTTCCTGTTACTATCAGAATTCGACTACTCATTCGGAGACCAGGTGTTGCTTCACGACGCATCTGTAATACAATTGAATAATAACAGTAGTTTTAGACATTATTAGAATCATTTGGCGCGAATGGCGCGCTTTCGTTACAAAGTCAAGTGTCGGAATGAATAGTGAGGGAACATAAATGTTGAAATTTTAATAAGCGCCAATACACTGGCACAGTGTCTAATTTTCTTCCTAACAGTAGCAATAACAAGAAATCGAAGAAGGATGAAGAAGAAGAACCATGGTTGGGATCTGTCTGATCTTCCCTAACTGTGAGGAAATTCAAAGATTTGTGTGTAGTCAATGAACCCGCACAAGGCTAGCATGATTGACTAAGGCCTGCTCACAGGGTATCTGAGCCCCTCAGTGGTGATGTAGCGCTGATGATGAATGTATATGACAATAAAAGTATTACCCTAGATATGAAGCAAAGTGCCATAGCAAGAGCTCCGGCCAGTAAAGATTCTCCAGGTTTATCTTCTTGAGGTTGACTTTTTATTAAATTCACCAATCTGTAATAAAAGGTTAAACAATGAAATAAATCATTTAGATGTGGCTGGCATCCAGATTTTAAAAGGTCTCTAATTTTTACCTAACATTACAAAATTATATGGAAATGTAGTTTAACTAATTTTAAATGCAAATGTGTGGATGGAAAGATGTTTATAATAAGGTATCTCCAGAATGGCTTCATGGATCACTGAAATTTGGCATAGATGTAGAACATAGTCTGGAAAGATACATAGGCTTTTAATTATTTTTTTAAATTGTAAGCAAGAGTGGAACCATGTGCGCCAGCTATTATACTATAAATTTCCATGAAGGCTTACCTCATTTTAATAGTTTTCTCTACTAAAGTAAATAGTTCATATTGTCCATCTATCTGTCTTACATCCAGAGGTTTGCCTGGAGACGGGTAAAGATATTCACTGAAACAATAAGATATTTTTCATTTTTGTATACTTTACTTTAGTCTGAATCATTTGCACAATATAACAATAACAGTGTCTGGGAACTATGATATATTGGAAATTATCTTCCTAACACATTTTATGTTTAAAAACTAAAAATTGCCGTAAATAATTAGAAATTTTATACAAACTTACCTTTTATGAAAGTGACATCCTATAACGCCCAGTAAATTCCTAGATTTCTGCATCAAGTGCGAATTAGCAAATGCTATCACCGCATCTAAACACCCAGTTAAAACTTTCGGGTCTTCAGTGATATATCGTTGATTTGGATTAGTATCCACTATAATCACTAATAAACTGCTATCAGATGGACCTATAAATAAGGATAATTTAAGCATAATATTACAATAATATATATGAAATAAATACATTAAATAGGTTATGAGAAACTTACCGTCATCATCCTGCATTTTATCACCCATTTTGTCTCAAACAAATGTAAACTTGTTTTAGACACTTATTTTACGATATGAATATTTTAGAACTGAGTTAATTTGCACTATTGATGTTAACATCCAGTTTGTAAGACGTTGTTTCAGCAAATATTTTGGATTCGCGAGCTTGACGTTTGGCTGTTTTTGTTTGATTTTGAAAGTGACAGTAACGCTTTGCAGTGTTGCTATATAAAAAAAGAGAGTAATCAAGAAAAAAAAATAGAAATCTGCGAGTGTTTCAAATAAATGATAACTTAGTTAAGTCCATTAGGTTTTGTAATTTACGTATGAAATATGATAATATGGAATGATTCATATGTTTTTGTTAAAACCTTTAGTTTAGGTACTTTCTATGAACTGGAAGTAATCAAGAAGTTTAGTACTCTGTATTGTCAAAAATAAAATCAAAACAGGTTTTTATTTCAATTAATTTTAACGTTTCGTTAGCGTGAATGAATTTATCTTTATTTTAAATCAAACAGCCGTTCGTACTTCGTGGACAGATGTCATGATGATACTGATTCATATTTGTCAAGAAGTGAATGAAGCCCACTCTTGCCCACGCGACGCATTCCATACGATCGCGACAAGGGTAACTGAACAATGATTAATTAATTTATATTTTAAAATTGAAAGCAAACCAATGTCTCAAATAGATACTGTTACGCTTATATTTCCGTAGTTGTACTAGCTATCGATAGATGGCGTTAGCTGTAAGAATTAAGAAACTTATAACAGAATCTTAGCATAAATAGGTGAATTAATTAATTTGTTTGTAAATCGAAAAATTCTATTATAAGAATTCAACATAATAACTATGTTATAACAACTCTGAATAACACAAAAATATTTAATACCGAAATGTAACATCAAATTCACATTTTAAACGTTAAGTTTAAAGTATTAGGATCATTTGTATTTAACAACCGATAAAATCTATACAAAATATTTTGAGGCCGTAAAGTCAATTATACAGCCATAATTCCGGATATTTCAATTTTAAAAATACAGTAACGAAAAAAGTGGCTGGATCTTAATTTGAAAAAAAATGTAAGATGAGCAAAGGTGTGCATATTTAAATACATAGAGCACATATTAATTAGAACGTGAATAAATAAAACATCACTAATTTATCAGAGTATCAAAGTGCCGGCCCGCATTCATTTTTAATTTAAGGTAAAAACGTTTTAGTTACGTGCATAAAAAGTTTTAATTTTTAATAAGCACTAATTTTTATTATACAGGCCAAAATACGAATTTCAGTTTTTGATTTTATTGTCGGATTCAATATTTTAGCTATTCATATTATCTATGTAATCTGCAACCTTAGGTGTCATGGCGCCAAAAAAATTGTCACATGACTCATATTGTCATCCCTGATATTATTTAAAAAAGAACAGAGACAACAATATGTTTGTGACAAATGACAAATGTCACCAAGTCGAAACAGTTAGAAAAATCAGGCGCCGTACTTTGCATTTGAAATAAGATCATTAGCTTGATTTACATATACCTCTTTATCAGTGAACGTAAAGACGGGGAGGCTTATTATTGTATCCGAATTGAATTCGAGATGACAGCTCGGTGATATGGCGCCGAACTTATGTCATCTGTCAAAATATATGTGAACAGTACGAGTGGAAGCGATGAGAGGCCGTGATACCGTACCATGAATAATATTATACGAGTGACAGCGACGCTTGTCATTTTAAGACATTGTACACCGGTTAATGATATGACATTATTCGAATGCGTTGGTGGTCTGGATGAGGGAAAAATTAACCCAGTTTTTTTTACTTGAACTAAATAATGGACAGCTGCAAGGAATAAGGACGCTGTCATTTACATATTTCTTCAGTTATTTGGAATTAGTTTATAAATGTTAGATCCTTTTTCCACTAAACGACTAAGAGACTGCTACTATTAAAGTAATAGTTGCGCTAGTGGAAATGGTAAATCTTACTAATATTATAAATGCGAAAGTTTAGATGGATGGATGTTTGTTTGAAGGTATCTCCGGAATAACTCAACGGATCTTTATATTTGGTACAGTTGTAGAACATAGTCTGGAAGAATACATGGGCTACTTTTTTTTTTTTATAGGAGAAGGGGGCAAACGAGCAACGAATCGCCTACTTATTAAGTTTTTTTTATTCTGCGTGGTCGGGCGAAAGCTAGTTTTTAATAAAAGTAGCTGTCGCAAGACTAAGAAATTTAATTTTAAATCCACTTCACAATAAATCATCATAAATATAAAAATGTAATTAAAATTAATCAATGTAATTTAATGAAAAGGTTCGATAATTGAATGAGGTTTTATGAGGACATTGTTTACAAGACTTCGTGCCGCGCACTGGCGACGCTACATTAGCGCGCGCTTTCGAAAATCGAACTGAGCAAAGAAAGAAAAAAGGGCGGGAACGAAATAATTATGCACGTTCCGTTTCGTAATGGGTGTCGCGCTACCGTTTCCATTTAGGTTATGTGCACACGTATTATTTTATTATTAATACGCAAAGTGTGTATGAAATTTTTTTAAAAATAATGGATATTATTACGACTTACATAGAAATTGTAATAAAATAAGAACAAAAACAAACAACGAATGTCCTGTTAACTATAACGTTATTACTATTTATAAGTAAGTGTTTATCTTCTATAGTATTTAACAACTTCTATTTGAGGGACTACTTTCGAACAATTAACATTATATCGCCTTGGGAAGATTGAATATAAAAACAAAAAAATCGAAATTTTTATTTCCATCGTATATTATTGTAAATTTCTTTGTCTCTCATACTGTGGAAGAATAAGTTAGTGTGTAGACAGCTTTATTAGATTGCTTGTTCACAGAATTTAATTACGGGCAGAGCGCGGCCGGATTAGCAGGGCTGGCTTGTGGCGTTCCGTTTTGTTAATAACAGCAATAATGGATGACGCCTGCGCACCTCACTGCAATGCAATCCTATAAACAAAGCTTACAAAGAGGTTTGTTTTTACATCGAAACTTTTTAGTAAGAAAAAAAATCACCAAAAAAAAATTAAAGTAAAAATGTTGCATTAATACAAATCAAAGGTGAGAATAGGTAGAGATAATGTATATAACTCTAGAACTCTATTGCAATGTATTTTATAAATAACTAGCTGTCGCCCGCGACACTGTTTGCTGGAATTAAAAAATGTTTAATTACAAAAGTTTTGTCTTTTTCCAGATACGTTCTACATCCATGCCAAATATATCGGTTAAGCTGTTCTGGAGATTTTAACAAACATGCTTCAAAACATCTATTTGGAATGATAATATTAGTAAGAAGTGATATATACTTTACTTTCATGAATAATACAAAAGTTATTAATCATCGACAACTTTAATAAAACAAATACTCTTACATCTCTATCCAGAGTGTAATTGGTATTATAAATATACTAACGAACTGTTTTGTAAATGTAAAAAAAACATACAAACAATATTAATAATTCAATAACGAGGTCTCGAAAACAAATTGTCTAAGCGATAGGACGAAGCACAACAAACAAAACAAATCAACCTTAATAAGAACCGAAGTCCACGAGATGGTCACAAAAGAAACAGATAATCCTCCTCCCCATTCCCTTCTCTTACCCCGTCTCTCTATTGTTTTTTTTTATCACGTCAATATCTCGGCCAAATTTTCAATATTGGAATGCCTCGATTCGCCAATAAGAAACGGGGGAGAATTGATTTATTGTCCAATTAGCGTCGGTCAGGTGTGCCAACTGCCATGATAAAATCGGCCCGCTTGCCTCGGCTCGGTCTAGAGACGTTACACGAGTAGACTTCGAACACTATGTAATCGATAATAAAAAATCGATTCATAACAATCGCTTTAGTATATATAGATTTTCCAGTAAAGCGATGTAATTTTATCTCGTGGTACGGGATTGGTAAATTCAACGATTGAGTACTAAATATCGATAATTCAGTCAAATAACCACAATGTGATTTTATCGTAATCCTTTATCATAATGAAACATTAGAATGACCAAAATCCCTAAATAACATCGCTGACGTCAACTAATTAAAAAGTTAAATGTTCAGTTATACATATTTGAGATCTAAATACAAGAATTGGAAAATAAATTTACTTGCAAATTAAATGTACATTCATGGTGTTCTATTTATTAATTTCATTTCTTCTAGACTGTCTTCATCTATATATGATTATAATAAACAGAAGTTAATTATAAACTGTAACTTGAAGTACAATTAAAATGTATCAATTCGAAACATGAAATAATCCATTAATTATTATTTATCTAGTTTATTAAATATGTCTTGTAATCATACTGTAGACACCTTTTATTTTGGGATGGAAATACAATGTATTTGATATAGCTTGATATTGTTGTCTCTGTTTTATTAAAGATATAGAAAGGGATGAAAATATATTAAAACAATTCTACATTTTTATAACTCGAAGCTAATTTATCGTCACGTCAAATACATTGTATCGATATGATGTAAGTCGTAATTATCGAATAAATACATCCCTAACTGTTACTACAATTTCTTTTGGTGCTTTCATTTTAAATGGCATATTGGAATGGAACAAAAGACCTTTACACCGTGCTACCAGCTTGCTTCGAAGTAGAATTTGAAATTCTGATCGTTCACTACCAGAGTTCGCTTAAGTGGAAATCGATTTGAATTAATTGTGGTAAATGTGAACTTTTTGTCAGCGAGGAACTTTAATTTGATGAAAATCGGTCTTGACTCGTTAATTTCGTAATATTACATATATTTATTTTTTCAACATGATACTAAGTTATTTATGTTTTATACATAAATTAATTATTTAATTTTAGTAATTTTCCGTTGCTTCCTGAGATAAAAATCTCTGTATAAACATCGTCATCCCTGCTATTAACTTTGACAAAACAGAGTATGTTTGAAACGGGGATTTTGGTCTCAGAAACTTATTACTAATTACATGAAGATATCATTTTTGACATGAATGACAGGAGTGATATGTTTCTATTCAAGTATATCAACAATGGAAACTCACATTACATATTATCGGGTTAATATAAGTATTAATAATAATAGAGATATAGTGTTACGATCAATTAAGAAGACAGACAAGACGAGGGTCGTAATGTGCCACTTATCGGT